GGGGGGGGCGGGGAAGTGACATACCAGCAGGTATTTCCAACAAGATTTTGGCTGAGCAATATTTTCACTAAGAATCTAATATATCCTTATTGACAGTTAAAAGTTACCAGTGCTTGTTTAAGAGCAGTCCTTTCCTTTAGAAACAGGCACATGAACAGCTTTAGAATTTGTCATGCTCTGATCTCTTTCATTCTGAAAATACCCATGCTATTTTATGTGGTGGTAATGAGTTGGATATTTCTAGTGCTTGCCTGGGTAAGCAGTCATGAGGGCTGTTGTAATAAATAAATAGTAAGAGTATATTGCTCTGATAATAGCAACTTTCATTGAAGGATGTGAATATGCTTTGCAAAAAAAGTGATATAGAATCCTTAGAAAGGCTTTTATTAGTAGAAATGTAATACAGCAACTTTTAAATGGAACTGTAAAGCAGACTGCAGAAAGAATTTCTGACATTGTGTTTCTAATATCATTGCACTTTCAGATATCCAGGCTCTCAACCCAAGCAGTTGGATGCTAAGAAAAGTTCCAGTAAGCAAATGAACTTGTACCACATTAAATATTATGGGAAACTAGTCCTTCAAATTTTTAGATTTTTTTTTAGGTGAACCTAACTGCCAATAAATTGCATTAGTTTCCCTTTTAAAAAGCTAGGTGATATATATTCAGTTCAGATTTTACCTAGGATTGAAAATAACATTCTTGCATTAATTATCCAATTCACTTGTCTGCTCTTTATGGAGTAAGTTATGGTAGCCATTACCCTCAAAAGTTAAAGATATTTCCCATAAGTTTGCTTAAATAGAGCTCACTACTATTTTATATATAATGATTATAGCAGTGAAGATAAAACTCAAATATTTGTTTATCAAACAATTACTTTTCTTGAGAAAGTCAATCTTTTTTTTTTTTTTTTTTTTTGGTACTGGGGATTGAACCCAGGGATACTTAACCACTGAACAACAAAAAATCAATCTTTTTATTTAAAAAAAATACTTAGATAATAATTAAAATTAGGATTAAAGGCATCACTACCAAGATAAGGTGACTTATATACATACTTAAAAAAAAAAAAGACTTTCTGTTAATAGTGCCTTACCTGAAACTGTTAGGAGTGCATGATTTGGGGAAGGCTATCGAAAACATATTGAAGTTCCTCAAATCACACCATTGGTGTAGCCTTTTCTACTCCTAACTCAAATATTCATTTTACTGATTTCTAAATTAAATAGATGAGGTTTATAAACCATAAACCTGTCTTTCCAATCATGGTCCTAACTTTCACTAGCCCTGTATTTTTTGGGGAAAATTACTTCATCTCTTTCAGTTTTTTATTTTCCTTCTAAAACAAATTAAATTGTGCTCTAGTTGTGTCTTAGGACAAAGACTGAGATTTTGCCATGGCTAATAGAGACTTGATGGTGTAGGAGGTATGTTTTCATTTTAAATATGCAGACAAGTTTTTAAATGTTTTCTTTTAGTGTGATGTTTAGACAAATTGAGGTTCTAGTCTCAACACACACACATATACAAATTCACTTTCTGTCTTTCTTTCTCTCTTTCTAAGGGAGAATCTTAAAATGAAACTGGCAAAGCTGTGTTCCACTCTTTTATAGTGTGATGTTTGTGAGGTTTCTCACATTGTTCACATGTTTCATTGAAATAAAGATGGCACTTTCATTCGGGCATGAATCCTGAATTTCCTTGTGAAATCAAAATTGAAATTGGAGCCTAGGAATAGTGCCTGAGATCTTTTATGTCTATTTTGTCATGAAAACTATTCTTTGTTAAGGCTGTCCCTACATAAGTGGGAGGAAAGAATAGATTTTTTGTTCTATTGTCTTCTGCATCTCTTAGCATTATTCTAATATATTCTTGTATGTTTTAAGTTTTATTCTTATTCTTATGTCCCCAAGAGAACACAACTCAGTGCCCCTGAGAAGGTAGGAATTTTAGAAAGTGTCCGATTTATAGATTTTGCACACCCTCATCTATCATGCCATGTTTTCTGGAGTACAGTTCTGAGATTTATGAATGATAATGTAATAAGCATAACAATATATTATGCATCCTACATCACATGCAAATAATATCCATTCTATCAAGGGATTTTGTTCAGAGAATTTTCTATAGAAATATTTTTATAAATGGTCACCATTTTTCTAAGTTCACAGAAAAGAAGTAAAAACAAACTTTAAACTTCATTTGGTACTTAGTAGCTCTGTTCCCTTCCAGACTGCCCCATTTCCTAGTATCCTCCCACAAAAATGCCAGACTCTTCAACAGTAGATCTAAGCTTTGTTAATAACAATCTGAGAGAACGAATTTTCACTAATTCTAGAAAGTGTGAATAGCTGTTAATCCCTTAAACTCCCAAAGGTCTAAAGTGGTTAAAATAGCTGTTACTCAAAGAAATCATGAATCTGTAGGATTTTTTTAAATTTTTTTTTAGTTGAAGATGAACCCTTCCTTTATCTTATTTACTTATTTTTTTCAATGTGATGCTGAGGATCCAACCTAGTGCCTCATACATGCTAAGCAAGTGCTGTACCACTGAGTTACACCTACAGCCCCAACCTGAAGGATCTTAACACAACATAATAAAGAGAAGCTAAAAGTGTCCAGATGATATCCAAAATTTATTTTCAGTTGACACCTAGGGAGATCATATCAGTCCAGACTTTTAGCTATCTCTGGATTTTTGCCTCTACAATTCTCATAATTTGGGAAACCTTTTCATTCCTAACTTTTTGCACCATAGAATCCCTAAAAAGTCCATTTTTTATTCATTGTGGTTCCCATTTCAGCAGCTGTGAGGCACTGGTGTGTGGAGAAAGTGTGCCAGGAAAGAAAGTATTGTGCACATTGTTATTGGGTAAATCAGAAACTGTATTTGTATTCAATTAGGGGCTTTCTGGTGATAGTGCCTTACCTGAAACTGTTAGGAGTGCATGATTTGGGGAAGGCTATCGAAAACATATTGAAGTTCCTCAAATCACACCATTGGTGTATTCATTTTACTAATTTCTAAATTAAATAGATGAGGTTTATAAATCATAAACCTGTCTTTCCAATCATGGTCCTAACTTTTACTAGCCCTGTATTTTTTGGGGAAAATTACTTCATCTCTTTCAGTTTTTTATTTTCCTTCTAAAACAAATTAAATTGTGCTCTAGTTGTGTCTTAGAAAGATGCTGGTGGAAACATGATAGATGAATAAACGTGAACAGTCTCAAAGTTAGGAACATTGTGTACATTTCACCTGTTTTAATTGCAAAATATTATGAGTTGGAACAAAATGCAGTCTTAAAATTTTTCCTCTGGTTTTAAATTAGTTCTAATGTAGAAATCAGGCACAAAATTTAAGAAAGTAAAAATGTCAACCACTTTTTTTTTTTCCTGTACTGGGATTGAACCCAGGAGTATTTAACCACTGAGACAGTCAGAAACTTTTTTATATTTTATTTAGAGACAGAGTCTGGATGAGTTGCTTATGGCCTTGCTAAGCTGCTGAGGCTGGCTTTGAAGTCACAATCCTTCTCTCTCAGCCTCTGGAACAGTTGTGATTACAGGCATGTGCCACTGCATACAGCTCAATCACATTCTTAAAAACTGAAATCAACATGTAATTTCTGATTTTATAAGGTATTTGCTGGGATATTGTTTTAGTCAGCTTTTTCATTGTTGTAACAAAAACACCTGACATGAACAATTTTAGAGGAGGAAAAGGGTCACAATTTCAGAGGCCCCAAATCACAGACAGCCGATTCCTTTGCTCTGTGCCTGAGGTAAGACAGAACATCATGGTGTAATGGTTTGGCAGAGGAAAGCAACTGGGTACGTGCTGCCAAGAAGCAGAGGGAGAGTTCCTCACCAGGAACAAAAAATATAAAGCCCAAAGTGATGTCCTGAATGACCTACCTCCTTCAGCCACACCCTATTTTCTAAGGTCACCACTCAGTGAATCCATTCAAGTGGATTAATGTGGTGGTTATGCCACAGCTCTCATAATCCAATCACTTTGCTTCTGAACTTTCTTGCATTGTCTAACACATGAGCTTTTGGGGGATACTTTGTATCTTAAAATATAACAGACATCTCTATAAAATCATGTTTTAGAATGCCACAGATGCAGCAAACATCATCAATGAGAAGGTAATTTTTTCTCCCTTTTATGTCCTGTGTCTTTTACACTTGAGGTCCCAGTATTGATGTTCATTGAAAAATATTTGAACATATGTGTTAAACTAAAATTAAATTGAACTGAAATTAAATAGACCATATAAGCATTTATTACAGCACATGGTTTTGTTTTGAAACCTAAGAAACACGCTTTGAGAAATTTAAGATGTAAATAAGGAAATATTTGAAGATATTGTGTCCTGCATGGATAGAAAAGGGGACAAGAAAAAGTGAACCTTATATGTTATTGCATTGGGGTCCGTTAACATCAACAGTTTATGAAGCTAGGAAACAGCCACAATGTGATCCATTCAGTCAGATATTTGCACTTCACCCCAACAAGATGATGTATATACAAACTCAACCATCATACATCTCATTTCCTCAGATTGCAGCTCCCCAGATATGGGTGTATAGTATGCATCACAATATATACCTAATCAATAGCTCCATTTGGTAAAAATCTGAATTATAGTTATCAATACTAATGTTCCAAAAGATATCACAATTGATCTTATTCTTTCTAAAATGTAAAATATCATATTGCTCCACCAATTTGGAAAATATTTTAATAACCTTTACAATATATATTCATTGAGTAAATTGATATATACATATGTATATATATAAATAACAATCTTAAGTTATATCAATATTATCCTATCCTAAAACCAGTTTTGTTTTGTTCAAATTATTTTGGTACTTTAAATTTATCCTTATTTTCTTTATGAAGAGACCTGTGTGTCAAAGCATGCAAATTAAAAACCACATGTGAATTTAACAGACTAAGGAAATTTTTTAATCATCGCATTTCTTAGCTTAGGCGAGAACAGATTGAACAAGGTGGCCTCCATTATGTCACTTGCTAAATAATTTGGCCCAGAGAGTCAAAGAAGAACCCATTGACCTCCAAAATGAAACTGATAGTGAAAAGGTAAGTCAGAAATCTGAGTGTCACCTCAACTACTGACTCTCCCTTACTCCAACTTTTATCTTTTAAATATCTTCTACATCTCTGAATTTCATCTAGCAAAACTCTCCAGTCACCACTCTTTCCCTTGAATCACTGAAACACTCTCCTACTCTTCTAATGGTCCTTCTTTCCTGCCGCAGTCCGGCTGCAGCAAAATAACCCAGGGGGTGACGAACAACTTGTGTAGATTGATACAGCAGGAGTGGGAACCGTTTGTTGTAGGACAGGAGGGGTATATATACATTCCACACAGCTTATCTAATTAACATAAACTCGATATAGCAGTCAACCAATAAGGAATCTCCACACTTAATGGCTCACTGGCATTACTTCACAAACCACTCCCTCTGGCAAAATGCTAGGCGTCATCTAGACTTGTTTACAGACCCTAACACTTTCCTTTCTTCCTTCCTCCCTTCCTTTCTTTCTTTTCTTTTCTTTTTTTCCATTTTTTGAGACAGGTTATAAGTTGCCCAGTTTGGCCTGAAACTTGTAATCTTTCTTCCTCAACCTCCCAAGTCCCTAGGATTACAGCTGTGCACTGCTTCACTTGGCTCCTAATGGTTTATTGTGGTCCAGTTTTTTGAAATCAATTTCCCCTGTTTCAGTCAAATAATTTTCTGTAATATCAAACCTCTTCCCTCAAGAAAGGTCTCTTATATGATTTCTCTTGGTCCTAAGGATATAGGGATCCATTTATTTTATTTGTTCATATTAGACCTTGCCTTTTATGTGGGTGATTTTCCTCAACTTCCTCAAGATTCTTGGATGGCTATTCGTGCAAGTGATAAGACTATATCGAAGGGTAAGAAGATAGCTGACATAACACTGTGTTTGCTTTTGTTCAGTACTATTTCCCCGTGAGGCCTCTCACCTGAATGAGAAGGCTGACTAAAGGTTCTGTGTAAGTGAGGGAAGTCAAGGGAATGTTTTGATAGCTAGTCTCTTTGAAGTACCCATGGGAAAAAAGCAAGTTACATAGCAGGAGCCTCCCACAGTCTCCTGTATTCTGCAACCAAAGGGAAGTGTTCTTCTGCCTTTTATTTTAAATTTACCTTTTATGTGTGTCGGTTAGAGTTATGCTAAGATGTGCTTCACTTCTCTCTGACTCCAGCACCTTGGAAATATGACTTTGTTATATATATCAGTCCCTTGCCCACTGGATTCATTGATGATACACTTATTTGCTTTCCCTGGTATCCTAGTGTTATTCATTTTAATGTATCATTCTGTCAATTCAAAGAGACTTTGAGACAAAGAAAATACAGGCAGATTTGAGAATAGTTCTTGGGTATAGGCCTTGGCTGGCAAATAGTAGCTTTTGTATTTTTACTTGTCTGAAGGAAGAGTTCTACTCTGTCTGCTTTTTGAGAAGTGGCTTCCTAAGTAAGGACACAGGAATGTGTCCTAGCCTTTTGCTGCTGCTATATCTGTTGATTGATCTTGGAGGTCTTTGATGACTGTTGTTAAATTTTATCTTCTTTCGTCTCCCTATTAGTCATATTTTATTCTTTTGCTGCCTCCTGAAATTTCTTATAATATTTTGATTCACTGATGAAGTGCTTCTTTTTTTTTCCTTTCCATAGTGTCATTGGTATGATTCATTTTAATTTGTCATTTCTGGAAATTCAAAGAAATCCTGAGAATAAAGAAATATATTAATATATTTGAGCTTACTAAATCATCAGAAGCTTAATTTGCCTTTTTTTTTGTTTTGTGAAAAATGTTCTGAATAAATTAATCATTAAATTTTTAAATTGTAAAAGACATAATTGTAATATCTAAGAGATCTCATTTTTTTCCTCCGTCTGTACTGGGGATTGAACCTAGGACCTCACACATGCTAGGTAAGCACTCCACCACTGAACTATATGCTCAGCTCAAGCTTACTTTTATTACCCTTAAGAAACTTTAAAAAACATTTTTTTCTATTAATTTACAAATAACTTTATCCATTTAAAACAATAACTCAAGAATCAATTCATGAAACTTAATTGTTTGACTATACTATAATCAATAAATTTAATGTCTTTATAAAGATTCTGTTTTGAAACTGAGACATTATTTTAAGAAATTTCAATTGATTATAAACTATCAATATTCAATAATATGAAAATCAGTCAAATGATGCAAAAACATACAATTTTGATACAAAATATATAATGGGTAATATTTTGAAATTTTTTCAGCTATTTAAACAAAACCTTATTTGCTATGCAATCTTCAGTCAATCTTCCTGCTGGTTATTTCCATCATAGTATATTTTCGATAATCACATTTTTAAGTCAATTGAAATTATAGTAACTAATGAGGATTAACTAAATTATGTACCTTTCTTAATTCTCTTAGCAAGTAACAGATGACCAATAAATGATTCAATGAAGACTTGAAACCCATCATAATGTTCTCATAGGAACTGATTATTATAAAGAATTCATGGTGGTAAAGAGGAGAAGCAAAAATAATAAAATATATGGTGTCTCTCTTCTCAAAATGGATACAAATATTATTGATGGATACAAAACATTTAATCATCATTGAAATCTAACCTTAGAAATTAATCTCCAGTTCATACATATATTTACATGTATTTCACACAGAAATTCCATTAAATATGTCTTCAGAAAACTCAGAGGATTAGCCAAAAAAAAAAAAAAAAAAGGTTTGGGCTGGGGTTGTGGCTCAGTGGTAGAGCACTTGCTTAGCATTTGTGAGGCACTGTATTTGATTCTCAGCAACACATAAAAATGAATAAATAAAATAAAGGTATTTCCATCTACAACTAAAAAATGTTTAAAAAAATGGTTGTGTGTTAAGAAATGACTTTTAACTAAAGGTGAAGTAAAATTATACTAATGTTATTTTCAACAGTTTGTTCAAGACACTGATTCCTTTAAAATGGCCCTTAGTCCAATTTGCTATTTCTTTCGGCTGTTTTTCATCTTCAGTACCCCTATATTTCTCAGATGCTCATATTTTCATCTCTGTCTACTTCTGTCTCCCCAACCTCCAAATGAGCCCTTCTTTCCAAGACTTATCTTATCCTTCAAAGAGATCTATATGTGCAGAAAACCATTGTATTATTTTAACCCTCCTTCCTAAGGTTATCTTTTCTTCCTTCACCATTAGTTTATCCAATGTGTTTCCTTCTTTTTTTAAAATTTTTTATTTTTTTAGTTGTTGTTGTCAATACCTTTATTTATTTATTTATTTTATGTGGTGCTGAGGATCGAACCCAGGACCTCACATGCACAAGACAAGTGCTCTACCACTGAGCCACAACCCCAGCCCCTCCAATATGTTTCTTTTTTCCAGCAATTCATCAGGGCAGAGCATAAATTTCCACTGATGATTCCACTGGATTACAGTTTTTGAAAAGACAATTACAGACTTGGTTGCATGTCTCTTTCAGGTATTCTAACTCTGTAGACAAAAATTCTGCATGGTTGATGATAATTTAACTTATTCAGGACTAAAATTCCCTGAAGATAATTATAATTTTTATTACTAATCTGTATATACAAATATCTTGTAAATTATTTACCCTCTTGTATATTTATCTTGAAAAAAATCTTATCTCTAAACACTCTAACAAATGGTACATAAAACAAATATTTAAACATTTTCTATTCAGTATCTTCATGCAAATATTCATTTTAAATTAAACATACACCTGATAATGCATTTCCATTGAGTCATAATTAAAATTTAGCTGTGAATTATTGATATTTAATTTTAATCTCTGCTAATATTTATATCATTTATCACATGTTTTTGTGTTCCTAAAAACTAGACTTATTTCCCAGTATACTGTTATTATATATTTTCAGAAATCATTAAAACAGTAAGCATTTTAAGGAAAATGGGTATCTCTAACATAAATTCAAGAGGGTGTACATGATAGCTGAATTTAAACAAGGCCAGGCAAAATAGATGGAAAAGATACATTTTTGTTTCATTCATTCTGAAACTCTTCAAAATGGGATTTATTTTGTCTCATTGATGCAAGCTATAGTTCCAGATACTTGGGAGACTGAGACAGCCTCAGTAACTTACTGAGACCCTGTTTCAAATTAAAAGGAAAACATGGAATTTAATTTTAAAAATAAGGTCACTTTTTTATAACAAAATGTAGCTCTATTTCAAACTCATTCATGAGAAGTTAGTCATCAATACTATTTGAATTTCTCTATAATTTGATTTCAGGGACTTCACATAGCCTGGCAGTTTAAGATGCCTTGGAACTGGAAAAAATAAAGTTTGCTCAAAGACATGAGGTGAGTAGAAAAATAGGAATTTTGATATATTAACAAAAATTCATCACGGCCATACTTGGTAATATTCTTGAGAGTCATAGTCACAAATCTGAGAGTCAGTATTTGTATACTGCACTTTTATAAGTAAAGCATTATATAAGGTTCTGGATAAAGATTCAGAGGAATCCTTAATTCTGAGAGGTTAGAATTTAAAAATGAAAACCAGAATTCTGATATATTATTAATCACAAGAGGGGTCAGAAGGAAATTTTATGGTGTCGACAATTTTTTATTTATTCCCAATTTGAATATTTCTACAAATGTGCTTTCATTTCTTCAAAACATTTAACTATACAATGAAAAAATACAGATTATTTAAAAATTTTACCTATAATCTAACTAAAACTGAGTATTTTGCCTACCACCTCAGTCCTAATAACAGTTTAGAATAAAATTGAAAAGACTATAAATCTGAGGAAAACAAAGATATTAATTAATGCCCTTAATACCTTAAGAAGGAAATGAAACCCAATAGATTGTATGGACACCATAGAACTTCTTTAAACCACCCAGGTCTTTTCCCAGAGTCTCACACATTAAATAATTGTTCATATTTTTATTAAAAAACATTTTACAAGATGCTTTCTAAAATTTTTTTTTATTTTGAAATAATTTTAGATTTCAGAATTTTGCAAAAATAATTCAGTGAATTCCCTGCCCCCTTATTCAGTTTCTCAAATGTGAACATCTTACCTTGCCATGACACAGTTGTGAAAATTAAGAAACTGCCACTAGTACATTACTACTAGGGAAACTTAAGACTTCCTTCAGATTTCTCCCATTTTTACAGTAATGTTAATGTTACATGATGTTAACCTCAGTCATTGGATAAAAACAATGCTTGGTAGTCATTCCCCATGTAAGACTATTACTTTACTCTTTTCAATATTCTATTGTTTTAGATAGACATCAGTAAATTCAGCACATGTTCAAGGTGTGTGTGTGTGTGTGTGTGTGTGTGTATGCCTGTATGCTCAGCTGGGAGGAGGATTAGGGAATTAAGCTCCACCTTCCAGAGGGGGTAATACCTATGTTTAGGTAGTGCTCCCCACATATTCATGTCCACAGGGAACCTGTAAAAGTGAACTTTGGAAATAGGATCCAATATCACTGGTGTCCTTATAGGAAGAGGGAAATTTGGAAACCCAAACTGACACACTCACAAGGGAGAATTTTTTGTGTAAAGACTGAGGCATAGGTTGAAATGTGTATCTGCAGATTGCTGGAAACCACCGGAAGCTATGGAGAAGAAAGGGAGGATCTTCCTCTAGAGACTGCAGAGAAAGGGTTGCCATACTTTGATTTTAGATGTCTCTACTTCATAAACGGGCAGAGAATACATTACTATTATTTAAGTCACCCATGTTCTGGTAAGTTGTTAAAGCAGCCCCAGGAAACTAACACAGTCTTTTTACGTTGTTGGTCAGGTTGTTTTCAAGTCTTGCTTTGGGGAGATCTTTCAAGTTGGCTTTGACATATCTCCATCAAGTGCTACATTTTTATGCCCTTTTTTCTTTTATTTCTTCTGCCAATCTCCTCTAATTTATTTGTTCTCTCCCTCTATCCCTATCTTCCTCCCCCTCTCTTCTCTCTCTCTCTCTCTCTCTCTCTATATATATATATATATATATATATATATACACACATACACATACATACATACACATTTGTTTTCTTCCAAGTGTATGTTACCTTCTTCCTTCTTGTTATTTGGGTAGCTTGGGTAGCTATAGACTTTATTTGCTTCATTCTGTAAGTTTTCCTCTTCCCTGCCATTAGTCCAGAAACATCTTAATTAACTAAATAAACTTCTTTCTAGGGAAATAGAAATGAGGAGGAGGCAGTAAGAAATGTTGTAAGTGAGGGGTCTGTCAGGGCCTTTTTTTTTCTGTATCTGTCATTTAATCAATAGGTCCATGCATTTAACTGCTTACCTTTCAAAAAATATCATAGATAAACATTGACATGTATTTTTAATTTTTTTCCAATTTTCTTTTTTTCTTATAAGGATAGCGGTGATATTAGGTTTAGGATCCATCCTAATCCTACATGACCTCATCTTAATTTGATTAAATCTGTGAAGACCCTATTTCCAAAGAAGGTCACATTCACAGTTTTCTTGTGGACAGTAACATTTTGGGGCACTATTTAAACAAACACAATGATTACAACCCAAAATATCAAACAGATCTAGATGAGCACATAATGATTAAATGAATATTTAGATAAAGTAAATTCATGGGAAAGAAGGACAAACATTTCTTATAAAAAGTCTCAATATACATGTAGATATTATACTTTAGGAGGCATAGTTTAATTCTCAAATACTCCTCCCACCCACTACATACATGTAATAATTTAATAGTTGGAGGTTTACAGAATTTGTAGTTATTGCATATCTTGAAAGTGAACAACAAAAATACGTAGTAAAATTACTATGGGGCACGTATAGAGTTATCAAATAGAAATGAAGTACAATAAAGTCTTTCATTTCTTTAAGACTATTATCTTTTCCAATAATTTCGATCACCAATTTATTTTAAAATTTTATTAGAACAACTTTCTTGTAGGAAAATGAATAGATGAAATATTTACTTATTTTTTATGGCTGCCCAATTAAAAGCATGATAAATGGATTTCCCTCAGTCTGCAGGAAATTAGCAAATTAGGCATCAGGGGAGTATTCCACAAACTAGATAATTACATAAATTGACTTAAAAACCCCTCCATACTGAGATTCTCCTTGATAAGTGAATAAGTAAATAATTCTCCAAGTTTCACCTTCCTGATAAAGGAACTAAACATTATGATAGCAGTTTCACTCATAAGCTTATGAATATGTCATTTTATGATGTGAGCAGATCAATGATGAAATAGGAGGATAACATGTTACAGGAAACAAATTTCAAATTAGGATCAAAGAAGGATTTTATTTCTCACTGTTTGATGCAACTCCTACACTCAACAATTATTCCCAGTTTTTTTGCTCATTTGCCTCAAATCTGTATTCACAATATTATTAATGATAAATTAATACCTGTAAAGAATATTTATATAGAGCAAATAAAATATGTATAAAGGATGAAATTTGTTTGAACTAAAAGAACAACTTCTAAAATATTATGTAGAAACAATAAATTGGTCAGTGAATGTTATATTCACCTTGTCTACCAACTGGCAGCCTTGCATATAGAGAAAGAAATAATTATTGAATATATTTTAATATAGAGAAATGAAGAAGTATGCACCAAAGCAATTGCAGAATAGAATACAAGAAAATACTTTATATATGGTATAAGAAAGTTTGGAAAGTTTAGATTGTGCTCCAATAATCCAAGACATAATTGATGCATACAAATGACTATAAAACATAAATATATATTGCTTGAAAGTTATAACTTATTTTCTTATAGCTGATTACTTAATATCAGAGCCTCACCCATATAATGCCAGATATTTAAGTTAAACAAAATAAACACTGAGTGTTCACAACTTAAACAAGTGTACTGACTTAAGCAATAAATTGCAATAGATGTATGGGGGGAAAATCAGAATGTATAGTACTTTGATATCTGTGAAAGATGTTATTGTTCCTAATTGTCTGTTATCTCCCCCCTCAGAATATAATTCACCCCCTTTCTTACCATGCCTCTCAAAAGATAGATTTTTTTTTTTAAACCAGCAATGAGGCAAGTTTTTTCAGTGGATGGATACATATTCTCTCTAGGCATATGCTTTAAATGTGGGCTTTCTGTTTCTTTTCTCTTTCAGGACAGCATACCATAGACAGGGGCTACTTATTCTGCTGAAATATGGAATGAGAACATGTGAATAAACATGGAGCTAACATGCTGACCTAAAAGTAAGAAATTAAAGTTTGCTTCCATAAGTCAGTAGAATCTCAGAGATACTTGTTAAAGCAAAATAATTGATGAACACAAATGCAAGAGCTAATTTTACACTCACTCTTGATCTTTTAATCATCCAGTACTCCTGTCACCTTACTATTTCTCTGAATAAATGTAAGTGGAATGAAGGTGGTTGGTTTTAGGCTTAAGATACTAATGCTTCCTATTTGTTCCCATAGATGAATCCATTAGACTCCATTGCCATAGGTTATCTGTTCTGTTGAACCATCTAGACTTCCTCTGACTTTGTATCATCTTCTCTCAAATGTGGTGAAATTTAAGACTTTTAGGCTAAACTGCTTGGTTTGGGGGCTTCCTATTTGAATTTGTCTTTATTCATCACTTGTTCTTGAAGGATAACATCACAGCTAAGTTTCAATGTTAAACTTCTGCTTCTGCCAAATATAAAAACCAGAATTCTATTGGTGCTATACAGAAGGGTCTCTCAGACTATAAATGAAACCATCTAGCTAAAAGCTTGATACAGATTGTAAAAGCTTTCTACATCAAACTAAGAAGCTGATGTGTTATAGGAAGCTAGTCAGGACTTTTAAGGAAAGGAGTGATATAATCCCTTTTTGCTATTTATATGTATAAATGTAGTAGCAAATAGTGAAAAAAATGTAGGGTAGGAAGAAAATAGTGGTAGGAAAATTAGATTAGAAGCTTTTGCAAATGTTAAAATTCTGACAAGTAGAAAGTCTGAAAGCATAGAATAAAATGTCAATAGTGGACAGAGGAAAGCACAGACTTGGGCCATGTAATATAATCTCAACAAACAGTATGTTTTGCTTTAGTTAGTTTCATTCTTGACTATAACAAATGATAAAGGGATTCAATAGATACTCTTCAGGTGAAATAATGTTATTCATCAACCATTTAAAAATGTGTGTGAAGTAAAGTCTGTGAGAGAAGAAAGAAAAAATATTCTAATCACCAAGGAAAAGAAAGTGCAAAAATGGAAAGAGAAAGCAACTAGAGCGTGGCTTGAACTGTGTAGAAACACACATGCAGATGCAGTCCTTAATGTGATTCTATTGTTTTAAACTTTGGGATTCAAACATTATATTTCCCTTCACTTATAAAGGAATTAGCTAATATGACTTATTTATTATTGGCAGTGTGAGTTTGAGTATGGAACTTTAAGTGTGGAATTTTGCCTAAATAAAATTGTTATTATCACCATTTTAGGACTAGGCAGCCAAACATTTATAAGTCAGTCCAATAACTCCAGCAGGAGAGTTTAACAACAGTGAAAAAAATGATCTTCTTATTGCTCTTTAGTGGTACACAGAAACAGAAGAGACTGGTATTGAAGTCATTTATGTTAGGATCAAATCCTTTGGGTTCAACATTTGTGATATGAACCCTAGTACTAAAGATCAAGATCTTAAGGTTAAGAAAATACCGAGTCAGACTAATAATCACAGTCAGCAAAGGTTAACATCCCATCTCTCTGCTTAAGGGAGATGATGACTCATTAATTATACAGAGCAAATCTGAATACAGTTTCACACATTTCTTTATTCTAACCCATCTTTTTTCCAAGTGAGGAATGAACACAAAATATGTGGTTAAAGTTCTTTTCTTACAAAGAAAGAAACTGGGGGAAGGGGGAATCTATATATATAATTATATTGTAAATATCTAGTCTTCTTATTAATAATCTTATTCTAAAAGTGCTCTTTTGATCCCTTAATTATTTAAAATATCCTTTTTCACAAAATCAAAATGAAAACCTCAAATGTGACTGGGCAGTCACATTTATTTTGTCCCACACTAAGCCCTCCCTTCAGAATTATCAGGGGAAGCAACTGAGGCAAAGATTAAACTAGAAGGTAAAGAGGGCTATGGAGGGTGAACTTGCAGGTTCTTATGGCAATAGGCAAGAATAATATTACTGTTTTCCAATCTAATGAGTTTTATGGCCCCTAATGAAGTTCTAATTTAAATCATGAGCTCCATTTCTAGGCATACACAGGGATAGCTCAGTTTCTCAAAATCTGTATTTCATTCAGTACCAAGACAAAAAAGGCAAAGGGAGTACCTAAAATTAACATAACTTGCACAAGGCTCAAGAATTATCTCCCACTTGTGAGTGATTACACATTGGTTCTAAATTGGCCAATTAAAAATAAAAAAGAAACATCTTTGCTAGGTGCTAGGTGTATTTCCAAGACCCAAGCAATTCCATAGTTAAGGCAGTAGAAATAGTCACAACACCAGAGATATGGAAATGCCTGCTCATGGAGTGAGCTTTGTGACTTGAAAGTCAGTGGGTTCAATTCTGCAATTCAGACACATAGTACTAAGGCAGCCATGGGCATTCAGATGTTTGTAATATACTATGCAGGAAAGAAAGAGTTCATTAAAGACTTCACAATGATAATGATACCAAAGCAAATTTGTAAATATATGGAAGAATTTAATGATGGCTCTGATGGAAATCCTTGAAAGAGGAAGCATTTTACATAGAAGGATTATAGGCCCTGTGGTATGCTGAATGCCTAGTGCTGAAATTAACCTTTCCACTGGGAGAGTCTTTCCAACTGAGTGTGCTTACATTAATTTCTTTAAACTTTAATTCATAAGGGCAATATAATTTAATTCATGCTTTTTTGGCTGTTCCAGAACTTTTGCTGGGGGTGAGGTTAGTATGTCTAATTCTGAAGTTTGACATTAGAAAACTAGAATACAGATAGAAGCCAATTCTTTCATAAAGATTTCCCATCAGGATATTATTTTGATTGCCATTTCTTTTTCCTTTTTTCTCATTTGGTGTACACATATAGCAGAGAAAAGAGATGCTAATTAGTGGTCTCCTCAAACACTAACCTATGTGAATGCAAAAGAAAGATTTTTCTTATTTAAGTACACTTTTGGGAAATTTACTACACTAAGATAAACTGTTTCAACAAGATAATTAAGGACATTGTCCAGAATGTCATTCAACAAAGGTAACTCATAAAAGAGAATGTTGCTAATTACAATTGAAACCAATAAAATAATCAAAATAAGAAATAATCAAAAGAATTAAGGATTCTTAGTAATTAAGAGACTTTATTCACTAAACACATATTTATTAATTATATACCATTGTAAGCAGAGGAAATACTGTGTTGAGCAGACACATGGGTACATGCTTTCACAGTTTAAATTTCAAATAAACAGAAATAGCCAAATAAAAATAAAACAAAAATATCAAGAGGATACGTTTTCTTATTTTATATGTTTAAATGAAGAAACAAAAAAAAACTATCAAAATTAGCTACAAGCAATATTGTGTTGAAGAAATAAAAGAATTGATCTTTGTTGTACTGAAGCTATGTGGTATATAAACTCTGAAGCTTTCTTTGAAAAAAAAATTTTCTCTTTCTTCTCTCTAGGTTTTCCCAATTTCAGTATTCATGTTGTAGACAATGAGTATGCTAGTCTTTATTCTGAATTCCAGCCTTTACTGCATATTATATTTTTAAATTCCCAGTTGACAAATCTTTTGACTCAATTTTAGTGATCTACTACACAACCAATCTGGGGGAGTGGGGGGAGACAGGGGCTAGAATCATGTGACACCAACATGGAGTTTGGCAGACTTTGTTACTTGCTTATGCAATATGTATTCTTTACAAATTGATGGTTGTAATAGAATTCTAATTGTATATAAGACAACAAGTTCCCAGGCAAAATACAATATTCCTTAGCATATTTTGTGAATAAAAATTGTCATTTGTCAGGGTTCTGGTTCAATGAAACATAGCAGGAATTCTCCTGACAAGGCTTTGGAGAAAACGTTTTTAAAGGGAAAGATGTAGAAGACACATGCCCTGGGTCTTTGGTGTTGATATTCTTCTTCCTCAGAATCTAGATACAATCCTGTTTGTGGCTAGCCATCTTGTAAGCACAGAATGGCATGGCCAATGGCAAAAGTTTATGCCAAAGTCAGCTGAAAGAAAAGCTAAACAGATACTGCATCTTTAACATCATAAAAAAAAAAAAAAGCTACTGTATGAGTCAAGAACTTCTTCTAGAATTTTGTGATGTGACAAAAATGAATTTTCTGCTTAATTAAGCCATTGTAAATTGAGTTTTCAGACTTTGTAATTGTTTTTGATGCCTATTACACTGGATTTTGACTGGTAAGCAACAAAAAGATTTACATTAGCAACTAATGTTTATGACACCAGTAATCAAAATACAAAAAGAAAAAAAAAACTTTATGAAAAAATTCAGCAAGGTTGAGAATGTAGCTTTGTGGTACAGCACTTGCCTAGTATGCGTGAGGCCCCAGATCCCCAAGTCCTCAGTACAAAACAAACAAACAAACAATAACAACAACAACAAAAACTAATTGAAGTCAGTGCAAAGCATGAAGAAGGACTGTACAAAAGTACAGTACTCTTCATAAAAGTTTAGAGTATAATCCATTGTAGAATAATAATATTTACGGAATTGCTTGAATTAGTAAACATAATCTAAACATTAAACCCATGGTATAAAAGGAATATGAGTTAAGCCTAACTAATAAAAGTATGTAGTAGAGAAAATATTTATAAAATTAAGTGGAAATATTAGGAAAAAAAGAATATTTCAGTTTGAAGTGAAAAAAAATGCTACCTACTTATAAGATACGAGTCATATTCCAAAAAGAATTCAGAAAGTTCAAAATAATTAGAAAATTTATGAATAAACTTTTTATAAAAGCAATGCATATTAGGGTTAATATTAAACAACCTGAATATTAACAACAACAACAAAAAAAAAAAAACTCTATGTAAACTAGTATTTATTATTTAGGCTTAAAAATGACAAAAACTAAACATTAATAAACATCCATGCACCAAACAATATAGTATCCAAAAATATAAGGCAAATATTGTTAGAAATGTAACATTCATCAGAGAAAAAAAAGTAGAAAATTTTATTGCTCTTATTATCAATCTGTGATAGGTTCATT